TCCAATATATGAGTAGCTGCGAGCTGTGGTGCATTGTAAACCAGTGATTCGCCTTCTTTCTTGAATATAGCGTACGATTCGTACGACTTATTTTCTTGATATTCTGGTTTTCGGCTAAGAGCGTCGGCTCTAGCGTTTTCTGATCCTTTGACATATGAAATCTTAAAATTGTAGTTGGCCATGGTTTCCGACCATCTGACCTGTCGTCTGTTTAACTGCTTCGTTGTGGTGAAGTAAACCAAGTTCTTATGATCCGTATACACCTGTACTGTGTATTTTGATCCTTCCAAATATACTCGCCATTCTCTAAATGCGTCGACTATTGCTAGTAATTCTTTGTCATATATTTCGTAGTTCAATTCGGCTGGTGATAGCTTTCGAGAGTAGAATGCGATTGGTTGCTATTTCTCATTTTGACCTGGTTGGCTCAGAACTGCCCCTATAGCGAAATCTGAGGAGTCCGTCTCCACTATGATTTGCTTATCAGGGTCGAATGTCAACAGTATTGGCTCCTCGGCCACTGCCTGTTTGAGCGTTTCGAAGGACTCCTGCGCCTTGGCGGTTCATTCGAAGCTTCCTTGATCTTTTCTGGTTAACGTGGTCAAGGGTGTAGTAATTCCTGAATAACCCTTGATAAATCTTCGGTAGAAGTTGACAAATCCCAAAAAGGATTGTACTTCCTTAATGGTGTTTGGCTGCTTCCATTCAAGCACTGCCTTGACCTTATCTTTGCTCATCTTGAGCCCTTGGCTTGACACGGTGAATCCTAGGAACTCTGTTTCTGTAACGTGGAATTCACATTTGCTTGGTTTACATAGCAAATCGGCTTTGGCTAAACTTTCAAGAATGTTGCTGACATCTTTGATGTGTTGGACCTCGTCGTTTGAATATACTAGGATATCGTCCAAGTAGCATATACAACAGGTGTCCAAGTATTGTGACAGCACATTGTTCATAAGTCTCATGAAAGTAGCTGGTGCGTTAGTTAGCCCGAATGGCATAACTTGATATTCGTATAGCCCGTATCTTGTCTTAAAAGCGGTTTTCCATTCCTCGCCTTTCTTCATTCTAATCAAGTGGTACCCGTTTCGTAGGTCCATCTTGGTGAATATCGTTGCTCCGCCTAATCGATCTCTTAGTTCCGTAGCTAATGGAAGTGGATATCGATCCTTTTTGGTAAGCGTGTTGAGCTTTCTGTAGTCCACAACTAGTCTCTTAGTACCATCCTTCTTGGGTACCCACATAGTTGGACTTGCCACTTGGGACGTGGATTCTCTGATCCATCCCTTGGCTGAGTTGTCGGCGATATATTCTTTGAGCGTCTTTAGCTCATCGGCTGACATTGAGTAAATTGGGGTGTGCACAGGCATCTTGCCTTCCTCCAATATTATCTCGTGATCCCATGGCTTGTGTTCTGGTAAAGCCTCATGGTTCTCTGGTTCTCTAAAAACATGTTTATATTTTTTGTACTGTTCGGGTATCATAGGCTCCTTTGCCTTGATTGCGATTTCATGCCGTGTCGTTGGCTTCTGCATTTGTAGAGGAGGTGTACTGTCCTTCGCTCTTAATGGAGGACCCTGGACTGGGTGTCCTACGTCGCCGGTGTTGTTCGCGTTCAACTCTCCTTGGCGCGTGTTACGTCTCGCGGACGCCTTGAACGTGTCATCGTGACCGTTCTTGCACTGATCAAATGTCACTGTTTCTTGTGACCAATCTATTCTTGGGTTGTGTGCCTTCAACCATGGCATCCCTAAGATGATCTGTTGTTGGCCCAATGGCACAACGTCAAGCTGTATAACCTCCGAATGTTGGGTTATGCTCATTCGTACTGGTCGTGTCTCTTGTGAAACGTTCCCGTCAGATCCTGCTAGCTGTCCGTCAACTAACTGCAATTGGTAGGGGTTTTGTTTCTTCTGGAGTGGGATTCCCAGGTACTTTGCAGCTTCTGGTGCAATAAAATTTCCTGTAGCCCCTGAATCTATCATGGCTGGCTGTGTTTGTCCATTTATCTTGACTCTGCAGTATATTTGTCCTGCTTGTTCTGTAGCATTTAGCTGTGGTGTAATTTGCTCATCTCCGTTTTCCTGGATGCTTTCATCGGCAAATGTTACACGTCGAGGCTCTTTCTCTTCTAGATAGACAGCGCTTGTCCCTGATCTAGCTCTGTCATCAAGTAAATCCCTCCATAGGGTGTACCGGTAGTTCCCTTGAGTGACTTTCATTATCGTACCCACAACTGGTGGTGGTAATATGGCTTGAGCCTGGACCCGGTGTTCTTCCCCTACTCTTCTGCATAAAAATAGAACCTGATTCTCATTTCTTTCAGATGTGTGGTGATAAAACACTTCCCATAGCTCTCCTCTGTCTGGCCACTGGAGGTGATCGGTACTGATCCTTTCTATGAATGATGTGTTCGTAGTGATTCCAAACCATAGAATTCGATGCTGATCGACGTACCGAACCTCATACGATTCGCCCTCTTCAGCGTCTGTTACGCTGAGGTCCTCGTTCATAGTTCCTTCGTCTGTATCTCCAAATTTCCAGATACGACGGTTCCATTGGTCAATTTCCCGAATAGACCATGATTCTCCTAACTGCGGGTCTTTGTTTACCCATGAGAGGCCTTCGACCTCTTCTTCTTCTTCGTAAGCTGGTGGTGGCGTGGCTAGCCCTGTCATGCTAACAGCACACAATTGTGGCGTGAAGGTGGCATTAAGTTGGCCCTTGCCGAACTTATTCTTAAAGTTGCCCTTCTTACCCCCTGTTCTCTTGCTTCGACATTCTGCTGCCCGATGCCCTGCTTTCCCACATTCAAAGCATAAGTTATTTTCTCGTCTTCGTTTCTTTTCCGGATCATCATTCCCACCTTTGTGGTGCGTAGCGTCGAGTTCCATAGGGTCTCCATATCTCTGTGGATTGTAACGTGGTCTTCCCTCATTCTTGCGGTAACGCTCTTGCTTTTGATTTCCCTGGGGTTTGTATGATCTTTGACTTTGTCGATATCGGTAAAGACGATCATCTGATTCGATGGAGTCCTGGATTAGGTCGTTCAAGTCTACACTCTCGGCAGATCTTTCTAACTCCAGTCTGACTTCTGGTTTGAGTCCTTTACGATAGTGACTCATAATGGCGGTTTCGTCCCACTTGGTTGTTCCAGCATATCTTCGAAATTCCGTAGTATACTTCAATGCTGATCCTGTCTGCTTGAGGTTGAAGATCTTATCTTCCGCTACCTCTAGCTCATTGGAGTTCCCGAAGATTCTACGAATCTCTGTCTTAAATCCTTCAAAACTATTGAAGATTGTTCGAGTGGGTTGCATGCGATCCTGGTCGTCATGCTCGAAATAGTCTCGTAAATATGGTTGAATCCACTTGCTTGCTTCTCCTCTGAGATATGATACAGCCCATACACTCTTGGATTCCTTTTCGGTGAACTTGTCTTCGTTGAATCTGAAGTAGATTTCAAGTTGTAAGAGGAAGGTGTCGAGTTCCTGTCGACTTCCTTGGTATTTGTCTGGTAAGGCAATCTTGAGTGTTTCGTTGATGGTAATTTCCTTGGGAGCGTCGGTCATCTCGACATCGTTGGTGTCGGGTGCTTGTGCCTGACTGCTCGCGGATGCACTGGTGGGTGCCATATCGTCGGTTGGTATTGAATTGGTACTTGAAGCAGAAATGGTGCTCAAAGTGTTACGGGAGCTGCCTCTAGGGTCACGTGGAAGTGTCTAGAGTTCTCTCGAGGTGGTTTAGACTAAACTTCAAGTAGGAATTCAATAAGGTTGGTAACTGGTTGCAATTCTCGTAACTATAGTAATGAAACTAATGATTGTTCTTGAGCACGAAGCTCTACATTGTAATGAAATCCCATTCCCTTATATAGACCTTCGTATTGTACTGGAGCGTTCAGGACCTAGAGAGGTCCTGGACCTTTGGTCTGTATGGACCTACATTCCGTTATGCCTGTCATGCAGGGTCCATCACGTGCTAAGAGTCATGTGACGCGGTACCGAGGATGGACCGGCGTAACAATAATACATAATATATAATACATAATATATAATACATAACACATAACACATAACACATAATACATAATCTACAATACATAATCTACAATACATATCTAGAACACATAAAATATAAAATGCGAGATACGAGATAATGTCTATGAATATAAATAAGACTTATGTTTTTCTCCATATAGGTAGGTAGGTAGGTAGGTAGATAGATGTACCTATTCATAGCTGTCCGTAGCTGTTTGTGTAAGGGATGAGATTTCGTACTATTTCTAATGGGGTTGAAGGTAAGGGGATGGATGGGATGGGATGAAGGAAGGGAGTGCGGTGTGGTATGGTGCGTATATTGTGTTATAAGTATGGGAGAAAAGGATTGGATGAAAAGAAAGTGACTGGTTCCTCTTTTATCTATTCTTCTGTCATAATAGGAAGAAAGAAAGAAAGAAAGAAAGAAAGAAAATCTTATTGATCCTGTCTCGTCACAACAACTGCAAAAATATTTTACTTGGTACCATCTCACATCCTCATAGAATGTCATCTCCTCTCCTTTCCTCACCACGCCACTTATCAGCAAATACCAATCAATACACAGAAAGATAAGAAAGGTAGGTATTTTAAAATAGTATGTAGGTACCTCATTTCGAGCTCGAAAATTGTAGTCATGAATTTAAAATTAAAAAGTACCTTCCAACCCATCCCTTCCAAGCCATTCCTCAAATGCTAAGTAAAAAAAACACCATCATTATGTGATTGGCATAATTCAATCCATATGAATTATTTTGTACCCATGTCCATTCCCACTTTACTGAAAAATCCCCTTTTTTTCATTTCTAGATTTCGATATCTTCCAGTATTGCAAAGTGATTCGATGCGCAGTCATGAATTAGATGATTCATTCGTTAGAAGATACGAGGTATATCTTCATCCATGAAATCTGCGAGGGAAGAAATGCAATGTGGAGATTCATCTTTCTTTCAAGTCGAGATCTTACAAGATGTAAGCGGCAACACCGAGGAGACCAGCAAAGCTGGCACCAGAGAGTGCAATGGCGCGGTTTCCGTTGTTGGAAACAACAATTGGTGCAGTGGTGGAAGCAGATGGGCTGGATCCGGCTGATGAGGTACTGACGGATCCTTTGCTAGTGGTAACGCCACCGGTGGCTGCTGGTGCGGTGCTGTTACCCCAAGCTGGGGCAGAGCTGATGGCAGCAGAGCTAGCGGGAGCGGTTGGGGCGGCAGTGCTAGAAAATGTTAGAATGATGCGAAGATGTGATTTCTCTGTGTCATGGAAACACATACCAGGTGTTGCAGATGACGGAAGAGGTGGTGTAAACTGGCTTGGAGATTGTACATGGGCAGTTGGTGATGGTGACAGTCTCACTCTGTGAATCGCATTAGTATTTCGTGATATAGTAACCCAATCTTGAAACGAAGACATGGTAGATCGCGTGGCTTTGGTTCTTCTGAATCGACCGCACACAACTACTAGGTGTTCATGTTTCGGATGGGATGAATTACCTCGGTGGCAGTGTAAGTTACACCGTTGAAGGAGAAACTGGTTGCAGCTGGGCAAACGGTGACGAAGGAAGTAACAACATCAGTAACCCACACGGCAGCGATACTGGAGTTTCCGTAGGCTGAAGCGGAGACTGCGAGAGCAGAGATCATGGCGACGGTTGAGAATTGCATCTTGAACGATTTAGATTGATATTATTGACTAAGTAATTTGGTAGGAGGTAGCAGTTGTTGATTGTGGTTGAAGTTGGATTATTGGATTATTGGAGGTTGGGATTTTGTTTACGAGAAACGAATGTAAGTGACCAAGAGTCGGGTATGGGGTATTATTGCGATGGAAAGGCGAAAAAGAGAATGTGATGATGGGTATTTGGAGTGAATGAGGTAAGTAAGTGAAGAGAGAAGGGAGAGAAGGAGAGAGATTAGAGAGATTATAATGAGGATCTTATATCGTGAAAGTGGATCAGTATTAATAAGTTAGGACCATGTAACTTGATTAAATACCATACTATGCTCGGTGTACCGACTAGGTCTTGCACCTTTACATTCTGCGCGAGGAAAGAGGCGGGAAAGGATTTTACCAGGACGCAAAATGATCTATCCATTTTGAGATTTATTGGACATTTATTGGACATTTATTGGAGAGTCATTTGAGAATCATCGGAGAACTCCATCACCTTTTCTCAACTTTATCCGTGGACTAATGCTAGATGGAGTTTAGATCTCCTTCGACCGATGCAGGTACACACAAAATATAATTGGATCAATGCCAACATTAATTTACGGCACAGGACGAATGAGAATAATATGTGGTGTTGATCATTATTGGTTCCCAGAGATCAGCCAAACACTGGCACAGGAGTCTTGTGGGAAATGTTTAGTCTTGGCAGCACTTGGTGAGCTGGGCAAAAGAGGGACGATAGGTGTGGAAATGGGTGGTGTTGTGTAGGTGTGTGTGAAAGGAGAAGGAGAGGAGGAAGAGAGAAAGAAGTCAAAGAAGTAAAAGAAGGAGAAGATTTAACATAACTCACTGTCAAAAACGGGAAAAGAAGGTTGTCTAGCGGTATCCATCTGTCATTCAGACTCATTCTTTACTTAATTTTATACACAAGCATTTTCCTTGATATCTTTACTTGTTAGTTTACTCACTATACATGATTTAATCATATCCAGATAATCTCATGATCAAGAAGTAAAGCATCTTATGAATTATACAAGTTAACCAATTAGCTCATAACTCATCCTTCATTCCCTCATCAGAAAAGATATCGATAAGTTATCTCATTCTCCTTTCCTACTTCTAGTAGTGATGTGATGTGATGTATGTGCTTGGCTTTGCTTTGCTTACCTACTAACCGGTTAGATCCCCTACTCTGTACAAGTTCTTCGGTCTTGCAGTAGCGTCAGGGGTAAACTCATTCGATTACTTAGTAGACGACTAGGTATAGTACAGTACAACCACTTCTACCAACTAACCATTCCTACCGATTACCCTCCTACCGGCAACTGATATAAATACCAACCACTCCCAGACAACAAAGATAAGCCAGATCAATATAAAAAAAAGGTTAAGAAAAGTTTCATCATGATGCAAGAGTCAAACAACCAGAAGAGAATCCCTGGATGGGGGTAGAGATTCATTCCTTATCACATATTAGATACTCATTCGTTACCGCTCCATCGCTCCATCGCTCACTCATCAACTCATCTCCACTCACCAAGAAATCAATATTCCAAACTTTATTATTGAAGTGGATCGATCACGACTCAATCTTGTGGTCTCTCATCTTCATTACGAGGTAATGTCCTCTGTAACTTATACGAAGTACTATAACAATAATACTTGGCCCAATTCTCTTGGTTCTTTTAATTTACCCAGCTCCAGCTTTCTGACACCGTGACACGACAACTTTGTGTTTTCTTTTCCAGCAAAAAACAATCACAACCACGAGTGTCTCCCGCATGAACCTTGCATTAATGTTAATATCTCTCTCCTTATCATATCAATTTGCCTTTCCCCACCAATGACTTTTCACAACCGTTACATCACAAACGCCAGCAATACGCCAGCAATTCATATCCTGGATCTCACAGATCACAAAGAAAATCCGGGGTGATGGTGGAAACCGAGCGGTAAGGAATTGGTTGGTGGGTTGACTAGTTGGTGGGTTGACTGGTTGGCTGACTGGTCTGGTTGGCTGATAAGTGTAATTATCTCTTTCCATCATCCATTCCATTTCACGAGAGGGGTAAGATGTATCTTTCTTCATGAACTCCAAGTTCACATCCAACTTTACAATCTAACTCCAGACACCCCTTCCCACTACCAATCCTGACAAATCAATCAGAAATTACATTGTATTCATTGCAATTAGACATGGGAATTTCTCTTCACAATCTTCCGAGACACAAATGATAAAATATCTTTTCGTGTGGGAAATCGGCCAATGTATGCATGATTACTTGCTGCGGGGAAGGCTCTTACTGGGAAGATTCTCTTACTACTGTAGGGGAAAATCTCTCATGCAGCCAAACAAAAATTTCAAGGATTCTATTCCTTTGGAAAGAAGAAAATCCATGGAAGACTAAAAAATCAGTCCATTCGGAGTGTGTCAGAAGCATCCATGATGTTCAAGTGACATGGCAACTCGCACAATTCCGAAGAGACTTCGAAGTACACAACCCGAAATCAATTATTCCTGATTTAGTTTACACCCCGTTGATGCAAACAAAATCATTTCATTTTCCGACGGCTACTTGATTCGGGGAGATGCTCGTCTTGGTATCCCGTTTCAGCCGCCTACCCGAGAAGAAATGCCCTTTTATATTCAGGATGGATAATAATGAAGGTTTTGCCACTGCGCATTGTACATGATCGACGCGTTGAGAGCAAGGGGTATTTCGTGTATGCGGGATAAGGTCCAGGTTTTTCGGTGTTTTCTTTACTGTTATTTATGTTTTGCCTTGTCTGATTGATTGCATAAAAGAATACCTAAAGCAAGTGCTTTTCCGATTGCCATGCTGAGGTGGCTATTTCATATGCAGGTACATATTATATGACGGGTTCATTCAGATGTGCGAATATGTTTGTCTGCTTATTCTTGATATTCTTGATATCATTTCACACTCATTTCCCATTTACGAATGATTACTCTTGGTTAATCTCCTCTCCAATCGTCAAATCTCCGTTTGATGCACAACACATCCCGTTTGTTATTCTAAAAAGGTACTTTCTGTGTTATGATGGGTTGTTAGGAAGTAGAAGATCTACGAATAATATACAACCAAGTCGGCAAATCAAACTGTTGACTGGGATCACAATTTCATGAATGATTGAAATTGGGCTATGGGGTCTTTTTGTCTGTTACTCTGCCTTTACAGGTTTATAATGCGATCTTGCGACAAAACAACATAGCAAAGCACAGATAATATGACATAGCAACAAATGACTTCGATATTGTTTCCTCTATAGATCTGGTCGTTCTTTTAGATTATGCTCTGCTTTTACTCGAGTTCGTTTCCCAGTCGTCGCTATCGATAAATTTGTTTCGTTGCAAATAGACTACTTCAACCAATTTTCTTAACATATCCCACTACTAACCTATCGTTTTCCACAACTTCAACACGGCATAGTATATACTTTCTTCAATCTACCACATACCCTCTACACAATCTATCAATCGTCTCATTATCAAAAACACAGAAACCAACCATGACATGCCTAGTACTCGCAATACAATCCCAAAACATTCTGCCCAAATACCACGTGAGCGGTGAATGTCAATCACCAAAATTGCGTTTTGTTGCATGTCTGAAAAATTGTTCGGTCTTCACTCCTCCATCCTCCCTTTTTGAATCTGAAATTGAGAAAATTCCAGAGACTGGGAATAAGGATGCGTTCGGAGCTTATTTCCGGGATGGTGGTTTTTTTTTTTTTGGTTTGGAGGGGGAGAAAAGTTGTGGTTGGTGATGTTGGTGATACCTGGTGTACTCAAAAATTGGAGAGGTACTCCATACTGGGTGGTTGGCTTGGTGTAAAGATAGACTGTGCAGATAGACTGTACAAACTGAGAATTGATGATTTGATTTGATTTACCCATTCATTTACATCTTCATTTCTTTGCTTGATGAATCAATCAATCAATCAATCAGTGTATTTCAATACCTCACCAATCTTCGCCAGTTCCTCACCAATCTTCGCCAGTTCCTCTCCAATCCTTCGCCAATTCTCACCAATCCCCATATACTAAACACCCTCCTCGCCTCCCAACCCTCCTCACCCTAACCTTAACTTTACGGAAGACCTTTCCAAATACCATACTCATACTCCACAATCAACTCATCTCTCCCACCTCTCCCACTCAAAAATCTCAACAACTCGCGAATTCCTTTCGAGCTTTTATTGTCATTGTCGTTGTCGTCGTCTTCGTCGTCTGAGGTCCCGTAGAGATCACTGAATTGTTCGGTGAATTGTGAATACGTGTGGAAGGATGGGTGGAGGGGAGTGAGATTGATTGCGTGGATTTCTTCTTCGTGCTTGTTTCGTTTGTTTCTCTCGGACTTTGTGATTTTTATATTTTCGTCGGTAGTTACTTTGCTACTGTGGGTTTGAGAGGGATCTTGTTTTTCTGCTTTTTCTTCTTTTTTTTCCCTCTTCTTCTCGAAATTCCTCCTCGTCATCTTCCCCCTTCTCATTCCGTTCATCCCCCACAGGTACATCATCTGCTCCGTTGTCTAAGTTTTTCTCATCTCCATCCCCATCCCCAGGATTCGAAAGATGGAAAAGCGATTTGCTTGATGAGCCAATGATAGGATCCATACGAATTATTCTTTGCATATATTCGGCGGGGATGAGTGGTTCGGGTTTCCAGTGGATGTAGAGGGTTGTGGGGGTGCATTCTTTGGGTTTTGGGAAGAGGGAGAGAAGGGAGAGAGTGGCGAGGGGGGTTCTTGATTGGGTGGGAGGAGAAAGTGAGGAGGTGGTGCGGTTGGGTTGTGGGTTGTTTTCGATTTCTCTACCATCCTCATCCACATTCCGTCGTATCGGTCGATTCACCCCCAATTCACCATTTCCCCGATCCACTCCCACATGTCCTCTCACCCGCAATCCTCCAGTCTCCGACTCTATTTCCAATCTTTCCCTAGCCCGTCTTATTCTCTTTACTTCTCTCATCTCTGCAGTGTCGGGTTGCTTAGGCTTGCTATCAACCGGATGCTCATAAATCCGGAATTCCCACCTTCTCTTCCGGTCTTTTTATATTTGAATCCCTTGCTCTTTCTTTGACCATATATCTCTAGTGCTCCAATGCCAATGTTGGATAGCTTTTCACGTCGCAGTGCGCATCCTAGGCCTACGTCTCCTACGCTACTCCCGGGATTTCCGAGTGGGGTGTGAGTGAGAGTAGATTCCGAACCGATATTAGCATCATCATTAACTCCATAACTCTCTGCAATCCCATCATCCATTCGTCTGTCTTCCACGGGTTCACTCCCTATGTCATCTCACCCGTTAGCTTAACCCCCAAAAATAAACAATCAAAAGAAAAGAAAAATCTCTACATACCTTCCACATCTCCAATCCCCCCATCCACTCAACACATCTCAGCGCCTCGTCTCTCCGCAATAAAAGAACTCTGTCGATAGAATGAATCACCTTTGCGATCAATAAATCATAACTTGCATCGATCAGTTCCTCGGGAGTAAAAGTTATAGTTCCGCAATCGAGGAGTGGAGTTGAGGATTTAGGTTGGCGGGAGGTGAATGCTAGGAGGGGGATTGTGAGGGGGAGGGGTGGTGGGGTTGGTGAGCTTGGGAGAGGTAAGGTGGGAGGCTCTTCTGAGTTTTGGGAATTTTCTTCGTTTGGGGATGTGTGTGAGTTTTGTGGAGGTTCTGTGTGAGACTCTTGTGGGGGGTTTGGTGAGTTTGAATTGTTTGAATTGTTTGACACTTTTGAATCGTTTGAATCGTTCGTGTATGATTCTGATTCTGATTCTAATACAACTTCTAAAGATGCGAGAGAGAGCGAACAAGGCGGAAGAGGAAGAGAAGGACGAGGAGCAGAAGGAGAGTCGGATGAATGGGAAAGGCAACCCGCATGAGGAGATGAAGAAGGGGATGATGGAGCGAGTGATGCGGAAAATGGTGGATGGGAATCGGATGTGGAAGGGATGGGGATTTGGGAGAGCGAGACTGATTCGTTGGGTTGTTTGTTGGGATCAGTGGGATCAGTGGATTTCTTGGGTCTGTTGAATTCGGACATCGTGGATGGAGATGGTGCAGGCTTGCTTGCGAGTGAGATCGGATTAGATGTGAGTACGGGAGTTGGTGAGTGAGTATGGGTACCGGTATTTGTATGGATGTGAATTCAGATATTGACTTTCTTGAGGAGTTAATGAGGATTGGATAGGTAAGTAAGTACTTATACAGTTCGTAATGAGATGACACAAATGACACGAATGATGAGAAAGAAGAGAATGAGAAAGAAGAAGTTTTACAGACACACTGATCATAGGGTATTATAGAAACATTCTGAGATTTGTGAAGAAGAGGCTATGAGATCAGGGGATCCTAGGCTTGATGTTGAGTTGGAAGGGAGTTGAAAGGTAAGTTGTGAGGAAACTGTGAAGTATTTCTTATCTATTTCTTTCTCGGTTTGTATTTGTTAGGCTGATTTTCTTATTTCGACTATCTATAGTATGGTATGTTATGCTGTATCATATTACCTATGATCGTGATTGCTCCGCACTGCACTGTACTACAGCCCAATAGCTTATCACTCAGGATCTCAATGAGAATTTATTTCCAGAAGAATAATGGTTGGGGACTTTGGGTTCTATTGAATCTTCTCTTCTGGAAGGATGAGATTGTCTTCTTTCATGAATCATGAATCGTGATGTGGGTACTGGATATATCTTCTGTGACATGAGTTATACTGTTTGAACTGCTCTTTGGGGAGATGGAGGATAGATTAGATAGATAGACATCTAGTCTAGTGGCTTTGAGTATTGAGTATTAAGGAATTCTAAGTGGTGGATTTAGCTAGATTCTTACATGCATTTAAAGTTTTGCTCTGTAGAATCTGTATATGTGGATGGGTGTGAGGAAATACATGGATTGGGTAGGAATTTTAACAGAAGCGAGCATATTTGTTTCATTTTCGTGGAAGAGAATCTGATTCCATATTGTATGGAAATACTGTAGGAATGCTACCTTCTATTTGGATCTTTTGTCTTCGGGGTTTGTTTCTTATGGGTTCGATGGGATGTGAAAGAAATCTGTCTCGTGGAAGATGATTTGATCGTTTGATGGATGTGGGATCTTTTGTTATTATTTCGTCTCATATTTCTCATTTCATTCGTTTTTTGCATCCTCCATGCAACAAATCAAAATGTGAAAGAAAAATACGGGGTTGTGGAGAATCACTCCTTTGGAGATACAGAATGTGTGTTTGGGTTTCTGCACTCAAGCGAGAACAAAGGGGGATAGGGAATAAGAAGTTTGATATCTTCTATCTCTTTGGAGTCAAGTGAAAAGTGAGATGTGATAGGGGTTGGTTGGATTCTTCTTTCCTGCTTTCTCATAATCATACTGATATTCATTATCGGAGAGTTCTTTTCTGGATACAAACTCCCTACCACGAACTACCCTTCACATATTGGATAATTTGGTTTTGGTCGACGGGATTCGAATAGTAAGATTACGCAAAATCTAGGACCTTAAACCCTAAGTTAAGATTACGATACAGTCACAGAGCTGAAATGTATTTCCCCTTTTCATCGAAACGAATATCGTGGTTTTGGTCTCGCAAATCGCGATATGCGGAGAGAAAATCTAAGAAGGGTCTGAGGATCGGATCTCGACTGGGCAGATTCAGGATCTCCTTTCCCATGTTTCGAGGGAGAAAAGGTTTTGACGAGAGTTGCCAGAGAAAAAGGAGATTTAGTATCAGGAGACGATCGCGGCTGAGAACTCATTTTCCATCTCGATTTCGGTTTCGAGCACGGAAGATCAAATCCTCACCTCAAACCTCTGCTCGCCGATGGCATTTTCTAAACCTTAAATCGAACTCGACGACTAGATGGCCTTTTAATCTTAATGTCAAATTTAATTGTAGAAAACAAAAACGAAGACAAGAGTTGGTTATCTCTGCTCCGATTATGGATACGCATCACCCTGGACACATCGATGATTCGGTAAATGTAAGTAATCTATATCTCAATCTTCATCCGAATATCCTGTTAACAATCTGACAGAAACCCTTGACTCCACTGAACCAACAAGTTATCCCCGGATACCGCTATCCCTTTTCTCTCCTCTCAGAACAATTCCCAGAGATATTTTACAGACTTCACCGCACAGAAAACTGGATCGACATCCACTCCCCCTACCCCACCACCCCCTACAACCCCCCCGAACACGGCTGGTCCGCAAAAGACACCCTCTCTCCACTTCCCTCCTCCCCCAAAGAAATCCTCTCGCTAGTACGAAACCATTTTTCCGAAAAAAGCTCCTACGCATCTACACCCTCGAATTCCATTTTCGTCCCCGGAGTATGGAGAGCGGGGAAGTGTTCGAAAGTTAGTTTGTGGGATAATAGAGAGGATGCGTGGGAGGAGGGGAGGAGGGTTGGAGGAGTCGAAATTTTTGAGGTGGAGCGGGAGGTCTTGAGGGAAGGGGGAAGTGTGGTGTTTTGTTTGGAGGAGTTGTTGGGGAGGAGTAGTGCGCTTTGTTGGGTTACGAGGGGGAGGTATGGGAGGGTGGGGTCGGGGAAGGGGAGGAAAAGGGGAAGGGGGTGGAAATGGGGATGGGGATGGGGATGGGAGAAGGGGGGAAGGAGAGAGGGAGAGGGGCTGAGAGGGAAGGCGTATTTGGTTGTGGGGGTTATTCCTGGTGAGTTATTTCTTTTCTATGTTTTTCAATTTTTTTTCCACGCACCTGTGTCTTTCTTTTTGTTGTGACAATGAAGAAATGGAATCTAGATGGAATCAGAAAGTGCAGAATCACCTGAGATCCCGAATCATGATCCATTGACTCCTTTCTCAATCTAATTTTGAAGTGAAGGATAATATACGGGGAGTCAATGACTGATGCAGAGGAAATACTAACTTCACAGGTACACGTAATCTTCCGCAACCAACTCCCATTATTCCCACACCAAATACAACAAACACAAACCACGCATTTCACATGCAGAACGAGACGGAAGATATCATCAAAGAAGATATATCCAGAACTTCCTCGGCGTTTATCTCTACTTTGCATGGTCGAGAAAGCTCTGCTACTTTCGGGGAATTTGAATTTTATTTCGGACTGGAACAGTTGCGAGAACAAATTCAAGAGACACCCCTTTCCCATACACCAAATCCTCCTCCTCGTACAAAAAAAACAAAACCCCACGAAAGGAAAAATAATCCAGGGGTCTTTAATTGGACTCTTCAAAATCCAGACGTAAATAGTATACAAGAATATGAGATAGAGAGGGATATTCGTAGACAGGCGCAGGGAAGGAAACGTGATAGCGTGCTCAGGAGAATGGAGAAGATTTTAGAGGATGGAGGGGATAGGGGAGTTGTGTATAGGGGTGTGAGTAGGGATGAGGATGGGGAAGAGGAGGAGGAGCTATGGGATATGGATGGGGGGGATTCGAGGGAATGGAGTTGGGGGGAAGACGCGAGGGAGAAATGTTCAAATCCAAAGAGGAGAATTAAATCATCAGCGAGAATTACTCGGAAAGGCACTTTTGGTGAGGGATTTAGAGAAAAATCGGCAGTTCTTCAAGATGAGGAGAGGACTTCTTTGCGGGGACATTCATTCTCATCGCGCGATTTTGATAGGAGTGATAGGGATGGTGATGGGAGAGGGAGAGTGGAGAGGAGCCGGTGTGTGGATATGGGAACATCGACTTGTGGTCTTACTTCTGGGGAAGAGTGTGGCGCGGAGGAGGGTGATACTGCGGCTGGGGGTGTGGGTACAAGTGTGAGAGTACGTGGAAAACACTTAAGGAAGGAAGAGAATGATTTCGAGTATGAGAATTGCAAGGAAAGAGAGAGAGAACAAGTATGTTCTGGTTCGCGCATGTCTTCTTTCATCAGCACGGTAATTGATGAGGAGGATATAGAGGAGGAAGAGGATTTGCAGGATAAGGATGAAGATATAGATTTCGATATTGGCCCTCCCAAGCGAGAGAGACTTCCCGATCCTCGAACCGATACAAGATCAGCCACAAACTCAAGAATCCCGATAGAGTATCTGAAGTCTAGAAGACCTGTTTCTAGAAAGATGACAGCAAGGAATGCTACTAGCGACTATTTTGAGATCGATGAGGACACAAGGCGAAGGAAAAATTAGATGGATGGGGGAGGATCATTTGATTCAGTTTCTGGCGAAAGAGCTAAAGATAACTGATCGGGATCGGGATCAATATTAAAATTAAGAGGGGTGTAAATATAGTTTAGAGATATAGCTGAGAATGCAGTTTACGAAAAGGTAATAGATAAGTGATATCCTAGAACTGTAAAATCGAATTTGCTTACTTTAGTTCTAGCATCGGATTTCCTTTCCGCACCGACGGAATTTCCGAGATAGATGGCACGGCATGTCTTTCCCAATTTAATCGAATGACTACACCTCCACCTATACCTCCCCCTTCACAGTCCTTCTTTCCTTGCACCTCGAATCTTAACTCTAATTGCAAGTCTAATCCTAATCCCAAAGTCGAACCCGAGTCTAACCCAATCCGAAATCGAAACCGAAACCAAAAACCTCAAAAACCACAATAAAAAAAGTCCTCAACCCTTAAAACCCATCCTCTTCCTCTCCACACGTCTTTATAGCAACATCTAAGAAATACTATCTAATCGAGTGGGAAGATCTATGAGCTCCTATGTGGTAGGTAACGAGCAGCGAGTGAGATGAATGGAGTTGTGGGTGAGGTTTAAAGGGGAAGAGGAGGAAGTAGGATTTGGGGGTAGGGAGGGGGACGGGAGGAGGATGTCGAGAGGATGATGATGTCGAGGGGGACAGGGAGGGAGAAAGAAACAGAAAGAGAATATTTGGTAGAGCGCGAGAGAACTTCAAGAGATCTAAGTGTGTGGAGGGGTGGTAGTGAGTAAGGAATTGGTAGGGGAGATTTGAGAGGAGGGTATGGAGAAGGAGAGAGGTGGAGGATTCTTGAGGAGAGATCTGAGCAGAAAGTTGGGGTGGAGAACGGAGTGGGAGAAGAAGATGATAAATACCTAATCGACAAGTTCTATTCGAGCAACCCACGAATTAATCCATACAATTCATCTATCCATCTACTCCTCCATCTACTCCTCCATCTACTCCTCCATATATCCAACCATTTATCCAAATCCTCACTCCAACTACCTCTCTCTGCCCCCTCTTCTTGACTAAAAAGTAAGAATCTTGTGTATAAATAATAATTCTCAACACAATAAATTGTCATCTACTCCTGCTTTATTCCCATCCACATTCTATCCGAGTATATCATCCATTAAAGAATGAATGAATTGTTACTATAAAAGAGTAGAAGGTGGTAGAGTCATAGAATAAGCCTTCACAAATACCATAGAAATATCACTGTATCGTAACGCCTCCGAAAAAGGAAAGGAAAGAAAGGCTCTAAAAAGCACTCACATACACATAAAAGGTAGAGTTTGATAGGTTGGAATTGATTATCTTTTCTAAATTGTACAAAGAAGTCCTATAAATACTGGCTACAGTAGGAGTCACGTGACATGTACCCATTTTTCGCCCACATTACACTCGCCTTCTCCTTGCCTTTTCTCTTTCTCGTCAACTTCAATTTCAATTTAGAATCTGAATCTGAATCTGAATGCAGAAATAGTTTAGTTTCCATAATTAAGAGCAGGAGAAGGAGGGAAAGAACAGGACATTGCAATAGAAAGCGAGGAAAAGAAAAAGAAGAAAAGGCTTCCCATTGAAAACAGGGCAATGCATTTCTGATGTTCACAACTGAATTCTCTAGCAATTGTAAATTTTCTCTATGGTTGATTGGTGCATCTGCATCAGCTGTAAAAGCGCTTGCGTGGTTGGAAGTATAGATACCTTTGTTTATATCCATCTATGGTACTGATTCACTCTCTTATGGAATTCTTGATTGGAGATGAGGAAATGTGAAAGTTATCTTATATGGTAATAGAGAAGAGGGAGCGAGAGAGAAAGAAAGAAAGAGGAAGAGCTTTCTATATGTGTATTGCTGGTGAGAAGTAGAGTATAGTCCAGAGAAGAATATAAACGGGAGGTCAGATAAATTATATTTATAGAAAATCTATTATCCTCAGAAAATTATTCCAAATACCATCACTCCTCTCCTCCAATCCCACCCCCCCACATCCTCTTCACCCCCAAGTCTCCCCACTCTAAGCATACTGCAACCTCTCACTACTATACGCCGGCTGCAAATAACTCCAATCCCTACTAAACCCAAACCCACTCTCATAAACCCCATAACTAACCAACTCCACACTATCCAACTTGGCTCCCTCATCTTGCATCGCCCACAAACTAATCGCCAACTTATTTTTCCCCCGATTGTTGATGATGCCGGGTGGAATAGGAAAGACGGTTTGCGGTCCAATATGCGGTACGTATTTTCCGTATTGGTATCCATTAATCCAAAACATAACTCTCGCAACTGTGCCCGCTGGCGCGGAAAATTTAATTCCGAGCGGAACATCGAGGTCGGCATCGAGCGCCAAATTGAAAGTTGTAGAGTACCATGAGATTCCAGAAGTATTCAGACCAACGAAAGGAGTAGATTTGGAAGATAAAGAAGGAGAAGAAGGTAAATGCCATCCGAGTCTCTCGCCATAGAAACCGCCTTCATTCATAGGGCCACGTACTGCATCGATATTCGCACTACCTCCAGCATTTCCTTGTATTTTCCAGAGTGTGAAACCGGTCGAATTACTTGGTTTGGGCAAGAGAGATGCGCCGAGGATACCGCGGGGATTTTCGACTCCTTTCGCTGTGGATGTCTCGTCGTGTCCGTGATAATCTACTACAACTGTGACGAGATTATTGGTGAGTTTGATAATAGAAGTGTGGGTTGAGAGATCGAGAATGGCGTTGGTAGTTGTTGCAGTTGCATTACCAGTGTTTCCGCCGATCAAAACACCATTTAACCAGGCAGACCATCCAAATGCTAAACCTCCCGATGCAGTGATATTGATTGATGTGTAATTGACGCCATCAAAATATCCGCGATAGATTTTAGGTCCAGTGTAATATCCATAGTCACTTGAAAATAAGACAGGGAGAGTCGCTGGAGCAATTGGACTCAAGGTAGTTGATTTGTTACAAACAGTCCATTTTGAATCGTCGTAGGAGATTTCTTTTTCTGGAAGAGAATTTGCAGATTCCCAATTGGTTAATTTTGGCAAGGAAACAATTCTACCTTCAGTACCAGGAAGTTTTGCGATGTATGACCCATATTTCGTCTTTGTTGTGAATAATGGAAAACCATTCCATACAATAACCTCAATCAATTCATTTCCGGAAAAGACTTCAATATTCGTGGTTTTGTCGACATCACCAGAAATATTAACCACTCCGAAAGATGTGGTTGCATTTCGTACGAGGTATGGTCCTAGAACAAATATTTGTTCATCTGGCTTAACATGAGGATTTGAAGTTGTTGCCGGAGCCCAAAATTTCCATGCTGAAGGTTGATCGAGTAAATATACTAAAGCTCCATCAGAGAATCTGACTACTGTTTGACCAGATCCTTGAGTATATGTGAATGTTTGTGAGCTCGAGGTGTGGTTGGAAGTCGAATTTGCGGCGAAAACAGAATTTCCATATACTTGATAGGTCAACTTTTTGGTAGTTTTGAAAGCAAATTGACCAACTTGTCCTTCTTCGAGATATAAAACTAAAACGTCAACATCGAATACACCATATGTAAGGATATCCGCAGATGCAAAAAGGAGTGTGTGCTTTCCGAATGTATAATCTGTGACAAGAATTTTGCTTTGACGCCCATTTAGATTAACATTAGAAGCAGTCACAGCACCTAAGGAGGTATTTAGATATACATCAAATGTTACTGATGCTGTTGAGCTAGACTTTGCTTGTTGGACTGTTGTGAATCCAGCTTGAGTATCAGGGTTTCGCAACACCCATGACCAAATACCAGTTGAAGATACCTATGATTGATCAGTTTCGTTTCGTATACGTCTGTCTATACGAGGAGATACGTACACTATATCCAGTACCATTACCGATCATATCTGTTTTGAGCAGATCAGTAGAAACTCTGGTGAAAAGCCCAATAAGTTTGGTCTGGGATAGTTTGTCTCGAATTTGACGAGTTTCCCGAAGAGGAGCGGCGTAGTCATAAGAACTGTAGACTACTGGAGCCGCAGCTATTCAAAACGTTAGACTCAATTCGTTTGTGTTGACAAGAAACACTTACAATGACCCCAATTTGTACCGCCCCAAGCCATGTATAAGCTCATAAGAGTTGTTCTTTGCCCAATGTTGTTCTTGTAATAGACGTCTGCAAAAGCAGGCGAAAGTTCCGATTGACAATCATCATAAAAACTACCACCCCATGGAGTAAAGTAACCACTTTCAAACTCTGGAAAGTAATTCGGTTGTGTGTAAGAATAATTTGAGAACCATTGATAATAGTTGCGAACAAGATTAAAACCAGAGGCAGGGTTAGTACATGATAACCCACCGGGGTCTACATTATCATTGTCAGCTAACTCGCAGGAAGAGAAGATAAAACAAGAGCCAAAAACGCATTGAGCATCAGCAATGTAATGTACTTACATGAATCTAAGCCATAGATATTCACAGCACCACCAACATTTTGATAGTCGGTACTCCATGATATGCTTCTTTGACCCTTCTCATTATGACTAAGAGGGACAGTAATGCCAGCATCTCGAAATGCAGCTTTAAGTTGCTCCATATAAAGAACCAAGGAGTTAGTCGCTGAGTGAGTTGTCTCTTGAAGTTCATTCTCAACCTGGTTGAGGATAACAGGCTATCTTGGGAGTTAGCACACGATAATCTTCTTTAACTCATGTGATGAATCTTACTCCTCCGTTAGTGATTTGATTCTTTGCGAGAATTTCTCCAATCTCCGCGATCCATGGAAGCCAGGATTGATAATATAGAGCATTGTTGCTTCTTAACGTCCCAAGACTTCCATCGGAACCCCATAACGCTAAACCACCACCATTGGTCTCAGCGTTACAATATGGTCTGAATGATCGGAGAGTCAGTGAAAGCCTCTTTCCCAAGAAACATAATGGTGAATATCAAGAGGACGAGGGGTTAATTGCGTGCCAATTAGGGCATTGGAAAGAAGAATTATAACTAGTAGATCAAATCGACTTACCCGGCTCGAGCAATGACCCAGATGCCTGCTTCCTTTGCATAATCAAGAACTCTTTGAACATTCTTGCCTGATGTTTCAAAGTCAAATTTTCCTTTTGAGGCCTCGTGATAAGACCAGAAAAAGTATACACTATACTAGTTAGACAATTCAGGTTGAGCAACGTTGATCCTACCTAATTGTGTTGAAACCATTTGCTCGAAACTTTTGGAAGATATCCTAGACCAGCGTAAGATCTCTGTAAGATTTGGGGGGAAACAAACGTACGAGCCATAGTTCGGGAACGGGCATCCGTTGATAATGAAACTCGGCAGAGCTTGACTGGCAATTAGCAAGAATTCAATAATAACTCTGAAAAATCTCACAAAATGAACACTCTAGAACCATTGACTGTCAAACTATATGGATCCCATTCTACAACGTCGGTCAATCCATCATTTGTGGCAACTCCACCCCACAACAGGAGACACAACGTCGTGAAGATGTTTAGTAACCTCATGATTTTACTTCGTTAGTAAAATCAAACATTTATTACACAGTAAATTTATTTCTTATATAGCAATTTGGAGATAACATCATTTAGCAAACAAAGCTTGTGCTTGTGATCCAGGGGTGATGTTCTTGCCGACGCACCCCGCAATCCGACGGCTCGGAAGATATTGGATTTCCAGCAATCAGAAAGACAATCATTGTGGATTTCTCGAGATCCGGAAGCATAGTGGAGATAGTGCAACGTTCTTGTTTTTTGGCTAATTGCATTCTTCAAATGATGATCTTAAATAAAAGATTTTTCAAACTTTTTTTCTGCTAACATTTGACATAACTCGGCGAACTTTCAACCGAGCGCCAATGTATGTATTGTTCGGGGTATAATAAGTTGATATACCCCGACAGGCACAACAGGTACCAAGGCCTTAAGTAGCATTTCGGCTGCGGAGATTATGATATATGTTGTCCGATGATAATGAATCAAGTAGTAATGATATAATTTACCACTTGCCTCAATTGATTGATCATCAGAGATGTGATCTTGGACCGAGTACATAGTTCTAGCAGGAGGCTCGGTTCAAAGGATCAAACAGAATGGGGATGGCTTTGATAGAGTCATATCAATGAATTCAACGAGGTACGTAAGGTCTTTGGCCAACGATTGAAGTTATTGATCTGATATTGATCTGATCTGATATATGTCGTAGACTGTTGTTGACTTGCCGCAATGCATGGCACCCGGTATGATCAGCTTTTGATCAGATTGTTCAAGGATCAAATCCAATTATTCGGGTAAGGCCGGTAGCAAGAACAATTTTCCGTGTCACATGATTAAATTTATCTTGGCGTTTATGATGTAATGAAGCACGCACGCACAGCCTCTAATCGGCAGCCACAAGCCGATTTCGATTGTGCCATGTTCCCGTCTTGGGATGAAGTTGGAAGTTGGGGACGAAAGTTCTCGTGTCACAGAAAGGTTAATCCTCGAAATATTCATCAGCTGAGCTGAGGTGAGCAGCTCCCGGCAGCTGACTGGATAGAGCGATCATGTTTTTTATTTGTGACTCAATTATCAGTCACCCCTTTCTACTATATCAACAACGTTTTCTGAGGACTAACTACAATACACATTTATCAAGCAAGGCACAAGAGATACTGCGCACACAGAACCGAGATTTATATTTTGAAGAGATATAGATAAATATCAATATCATCAGTATGGTCATCCTCGGCGGCCTTGAAATCCTCGCAGCAGGTTACCTTCTAAAACAACATCTCAAACACAAGGAGGAGAAGCAGCGCCTCGAGATTGAAGCTTTGGACCTCGACGAGCAGTCTTATCGCATTTATTCTCCTGATCGTGCCGGTCCGGGACATCGAAGACGGAGGCAATCTCACGACCGGGAGCACGATCGCGCTTATGATAGGGATGCGAGTAGGGATAGAGGGAGAGAAAGAAGTAAGGAGCGCAGACACAGACGAAGAGATTCGCCAGAAAGAAAATATACATATGACAAAAGGGAGCGGGAAAATCGAAGAGATGACAAGAGGAGAAGTAGGGAGGACCTGAGGTATAACAGTTCGCCACCACGAAAAGGATATTATGCGCCACATCCAGAAACGCAGATGCGACAACATGCGCATTTACCCGTTGGCGCATCCTCAACGCGATGGGTTCCTCCACCACCTCCTCAACAACAACGTGTGAATAGCCCGCCTATCATCACTACCTCTCCTCCTTTCAACCATCATTCTCAGCCTCATTATCCTCCTTATCCAACACCACAACAGCCTCTTCACCCAACATTCGCGAACGAACCATATGCTTACCCGCCCGAGAAGCTACCCGAGTCTATGTTGAGGCCTGGTGCGCCCACTCGGGGTCGCTCATCATCTGCGCCGGGCGATGTATATGAGATTCCAAGAGCGAATACCTCGAGAGTTAGGATTGCGGTTCCGGGAGAAGATGAACTTACCATTCCAGGCGAAACACAAGATCCGCCACCTGCATATGAAGAGATTAGAGGAAGACATTGAAGAGATTAATACAGACACCGCTTGGTTGCGATTATGATTATGTATGAATGACAGAAGTCTGGGGACTTGGGGTTGGTTCTGCGATGATACTCGCATCATATGGATTTTGATATATTGACTTAGTTTAGGAGTTTAGTATGTTTTTGGGATACCCATTGGGACAGATTTATTCTGAGGAAGAATATCATACACGGTTATTCATGGATCGATGGGTCTCGGGATAGCTACTCGGTGCCGGTCACTGGTCTGGCGCGATCTCACATCGCTTGTAGGATATGATACATTGGAGGCAAGAGCTCCATTCCATTTTGGAAAAAGATTCGCAAGGAAATAAGTTGGTTTTGTTCAGTGAAACGTGTGTCGGTACTTGATCAATTCAGTATAATTCCTCTTAATCTACAGGGCCCTTTGCGGCTCTCAATTGGCTTTAAGTGAACTCTTGACTCCCATGATCCTGGCTCGACCAAATTAATGGCGGAAACATAAGTACAACCTCTTCTTTCTATTGTGAACCTAGCGAAGTCTAGCCTCGCGATATACAATTTGGCCGGATAATATCTTTCTATCATCCTTCATTCCTAAGAATATGTCACGGGATCAAGACGAGCCGAGAAGCTCTTCATACAATGGAGTGTAACCTCGATGCCGCATTTCGGAATTGCCAAGAGAAAGTCTCGTTTGGAACATTTACCCAATTCAATATGAGCAATGCTCTTCGGATCCCTAGTTATGCAAGTCAGGACATGTCATTTCAAAGTGGTGTCGTATTAAATTCAAAGCCTGTCTGACAAGCAAGGCACGGGTTTCATGATCATGCAGGATCAATATACCACTCTGCAACACCATCCTATGTCTGTCTACATTGAAAGGCGGAGTCACTTCTTGAGCTTATAAAGCAAATATTGTCAAGATAATCAACACACCCAGTTGGGGGCAAAATATCGTCAACACCTGGGAAGTCTCAGGCCTAGGTGTTGTCTGTGCGTGATGATTTGATATTGATACTCGGATCTATCCGCTCGAGACAACGTCAGACGGCGGATCAAGCTTAATAGCACGACAAAGTTGTTTCATTTAATCAGAATCTATGCTAAAATTTTACCATTTACCTGCCACAACGGAGGTTAAAGTATTCACGCACTTGCCTAAATAATGACGGCCACCGTTATACCGTCTATTCAACCGCCGAGACAGATTGTAAGCCTAGCGATTTTCTGCGGCGAGACTAAAGTAGTTTCAGGTCGAAGGATTGTGATGAGAGCCTAACTCGACAGCCAGACTCAACCTCATTCGCTATCACTACACCTTCTTTCTTATGCCTTGCGGATATTATCATCCAGTCCCATAGGAATCAAAAGGAAGTTTGTAAGAGTTTAGACCCCGGCTTATTGCATACTAAATAAAAACATATTAAAAACCCTCATTTCTTCAACTTTTAAACTATATATTAATTCAATCAATTTATAAATTAAGTCTATAAAAATAATATCTAAAATTAAGAATCATTAAAATGATTCAAAAAAATAAATGAAATATTTTTAGTTATTTTTTTTTAATAAAGTTATAGATTCTTAAAATTGAAATTATTAAAAAAGTTGAAAAAGTGGTTTTTTTATATAGAAAAAGTGTTATATATTATAAATTTTGAAAAATTTCAATTTTAAAGATCTATGATTTTATTAATTTTTATAATTTTAAGGAACAATTTAAATCGAATATTCTTCATATAATTATTTCTTATATATATAATTTTCAAATAAATTCTTCAAATAATTAAAGAATTATAAAAATAATTAATTTGTATAGGAAAACAATATTTTTGCAGGGATTTTGTTACAAAAAAGGGTAGTGTGCGATAAGCCGGGGCCTCAACTCTTACATGAGTTTATGAATATTCTAAGTACCATTGTCATATTTCTCTCTCCTCTACTTTCCCACTTTTGCTTCACTTATTCGCTGTGCCTGGAAAAGTTCCCTCACACAACGATGAAAATACTGTTACGTCCGTTCTGTGTTTCTTCTTGTAGTACACTTTCTATTTTTCTATTTGCAAGTCGAGTGATTGCAGATTTTACAGCGACGAAGTGGAATCCAGTACGCGGAACCAAGTTTACTATTGCTTGGAGTGGTACTAGTGACGCTGATTTTAAAAATCTCACATTAAACGATGCGGATAGTTCTGGAAACGAGTTTGCAGTTGTGGAAAATGTCGCCTGTAGGTTCATTTTCTTGCAATCATATCTGTCTACAAAAATGAATACTAATTATACTAAGCTGGTATCAATAGAGGTTCTTTTACATGGCTACCATCAACTTCCATACCAGATGGGACATACGTGATAAATCTTTACGAAACACCGAACAGAGTCAACAAGAATGGCTTGACTTTCATCGGAAAATTGTTTGTGTTTGGGGATGCGAATGCAAATCAAGTTGTTGTAAGCGAGTCGGAACCTACTTCGGTTGTGGAACAGGTGGTTCAAACTACGACGTCTGTATCTACTCTCAGCAGCAGAAAATGAAAGTAGTAGTACTGGATTCGACTACTGATTCGGTAACTTCTACCGCGGCTAGCTCTACGACTATTGAGACGAGAGTTTCGGAAAGTACGGAGTGTTTCTGCGGCATCTACTTCCAGCGAAAGTCCTTCGGAAAATCCACCAGCTTCTACGGTCTCTAGTAAATTATCAGCCTTGACAACAATAGTAAGTCATTTCCAGTCATACGTCATATCTCCTAAGGCATAACCAACATGAACTAGTCCACATCTTTACCTATATCAACATCAAGATCTAAATCCATATTCACATCTCTATCCACCTCCCTATCCCTCACTACAACCTCAACCACACTCTCAACCTCATCCTCCTCTGAATCTTCTCAATTAACACCAACAACTTCCCCTTTTTCACCAACTCCAATCCCCGCCTCATCCTCATCCTCCTCTACCCCCATACACCTCCCAAATCCAGTAATACTCCTCTCCTTCATCTGTCTCCTCCTTCCTTTCCTCATCTCCATCTATCTTTTCCATCGTCATCGCAAACTCAAAGATCTCAATTCCAAATCAAATGCATCAAAAGTAGAGAATACAAATAACAGGAATCGATGGTACAGGGAAGACAGGACAATTACAGGAGAGAAATTTTCTACAGGAAATGCATCTTACAAGCAAGAAAAATGGTATAAATGGAATAAAGGAAGAGGAGAAAACAAGGATGATGTAGATAAAAAGATGTATTATGATGGACAGAAAAGAGGTTGGGTGATGAGGGTTAATAGTCGACCGGTGGAACTTTTGAGTAATGGGAAGATGTGGTTGTAAGAACAAGTGGAAGGGGGAAGGGAGAAGGGAGAAGGGGGAGAGTAGGTGTATTTACTATGGGCATTTCTTCATGATGGTGGCGAACCATGTCTTGGAGAAAAGGAAAGTGGAGGGGATGGAATTTGATGTTTGCTATTTTTCTATCTATTTATCTAATGGGGCTTGAAACAAGAGCTCTGTAGTTCAAGGCATAAACTTTAAGACCAATCTATCTATAGCCTAGGCGATTATATAAATACCTGGCTGCATACTAGTATGACGTCTTTTTAGAACAAATGTGATAGTGAAGGTTTCAAGACATAGCATTGAAATGATCAATTCTTAAGTCCTGAAGAATAATAAACTATTTCATAGAAACCATCTCTCAAGAAGTTCTTTACTATCACGGAGTAAAGGCTAGAAAACTATAGGCATCAAATAGTTTCAATTGATATTGTAAATTATAAAGATAGAAGAGAGATAAGCTATCAAGAATTCTGCATTAAAATCCATTTTCTCAGTCTTGATAGATGCATTTTTAAGAACCTTCCCCTGTTGGATTTTCGTCGGAAAGGAGCGGAATTGGGAATCGTCTTTGTCAGGAAGGAAAGGGGATTAGGCTGTAAACACAGGCTTTGAACCTCTTTCAGAAATCAGGCTGTAAGTATAGGCTTTCAAGAATTAAAGTGTAAACACAGAATTCCTGTGCTTTTGAAGCTATTCAGAGATCATGTTTCAAACACAGGCTTCTCAGAAATTAGAAGTCACGAAAGAAATCTATATTTATACCATTCTCCTTGGCCTATGGTCACGTGTACTCCTGAGACCTATAGATCATTTTTAATAAGACTAAGAAATAGATCAGAATCTTTGATTTTATTTAATAGATTTAAAATTAATAATTATTTTATTAGATTAGTACATATATTATGGCTTATAGAACACAATAGTAGTAGGTCAGCGAAAGGATCATTTACTATTTATGTGGTCACGTGGACGCCAGAAGATGACCTTTCTGCTAGTTCAAGAGACTTAGGGCAATTTCTCGCAAACGTCTGGCTTCATAACTACACGGCTGCACGACAGCAGGAGTCGACAACGTCCTGCAATTAGGATACTGCAATTCATTAAAAGGATGATAGTACTACGAGGAAGAGTTCTTGATTGTCATTCTATTTTATGATGACCAAAAACCTTCACCGGAATGAGATCATTTACAGAGATACACGCGCACTACCATAACGATATTTGATGGTATACTACCTGACAAACTCGGATGAATTTTTCTACATGACCCTACATCGCTCTGTCTTGCGTCAATGCCTTTTCAAATGAAGACATTGAAGTTGGCAATCTACCATTTCACGTATTAGCCATGCAATGATTACAACTCGTCTAATGTTTGTCGGAAAATGTACACGGCTTTTCATCTGGGATCTTTTCGTCAAGGACTTCAATTTTCATTCGATGATTTCTCATTTTCAAGTACATTCCAGATTCATTAAAACTCCTAATTCCCCCCAATCCAAATTCAAAAGCTAAGCAACAAAATTTCCACGAGCTTGAAGCACTTCTGCTTCTCCAGCTTCAATGACAAGATGCAATGTATCTTGTTCATCGCCATCTTTGACTTTCTCATCACTATTCTCGACTTTCTCTTCGCCAGTATCGACTTGAATGCTTTTTGTAGGAGCCGCTTGCAAATGTCCCTTGAATACAGCCTTGAGACCCGCCTTGACTATAGGTTTCAATCCCTCACGAGAATCAACACACGCCTGTGTAAAAGCCGGTGCTTTGCCTCCAACCCCTGCTGCTTTTGTGAACTTTTCCGAATTTTCCAATAGCTCATACGTGACAGTGAAGCCAAACGCCACAAGAGGTCCGATGACGGGGATGAATCCCAGTCCCACGGCGATAAAGCCAACAAAGAGATCTTTGATAAACTTTTCATCTGGCTCTTCCGTCACATATTCTATCTTAAGGCCGGCTTCTTTCCCTTGTGCTTTGGCCCAATCGATGGACTGAGCCATGTCAATATCGGCGATAACTCTTGATCCATGGACACAACTCCTGTCGAACAAGGCAAAACAAGCATATAAGTCCTTGTACCCTTCGGTACGATCTTTGTATGGAACCAAAAGCTGGCATGCAAACTTGAAAACATCAATTCGAAGTGTCCATTGAGGCCGCATCCCCAAGCCAGTTGTGTCATCTGCCACTGTGTCTTTGGCATAGCTGACCTTAGCAAAAACCGGACTTGGTGCTTTTCCATCAGCCTTAACATAGCCAGGTGTTAGTCCAGGCTCCTGTATAAAAGGGCCTTCGGATCCGGCTTCTTTGGCTAGAGCCCATAACTTATTGTTTATTGCAATGAGTCTATTCATCTCTTTACCCCAAGCCCAGTTGTGATTCCTTACATTGTTCCAGTCATTCATAGCTTTCTGAACTCGGGAGATCGAAGTCCAGAGATGATTCTTGAGAACATATGATTGTGGCATTCCCTTGCGACCACGGACATCTAGACGCGAGAAAATTGCATGGCTCTTGTACTGAGGATGAGCATTAAAAGCACAGGGAATGTAGATTGCCCTGATAGGGTATGTCAGATCAACCCAGAAGAAGCGTTCCTCTTTAGTTGGTCGGGGAACAGCGACGTAGCAAACTGCGGCAGAGCCTGTTTGACGCCACAGCTGACCGCGACTGATATTGCATTTGAGGCGATATGTGCGCTTGATGTCTTCGGCGCTAGGGCCGTACATTCTGGAAGATCGGGGAGTCAGTATTGCCTATCGAAGCAAGATTCTGAAAAAAAAAACCCCCCCCGAGAAGAGGAAGATGTGTGTTAGGAAGCAAAATAAGGATACATCTTCATCATCCATTTGATGAATAATGGAGGTTGAAAATGGGAAATACAATTAGGTATTAAGAAAGCGCTTGGTCAGCGTATTATACTGACGCGGTCATAAATTCATAGCGGCCGTAGCCGGTGCTGGTCATGCTTCCCGCAAAGACCTGTTGTCCCGTTCTTGGGTGATTGGGGTATGCTAATGGCGGGGGCAAAGCCCATGCTTCGTCTTCTGTCGCGTTGTAAACGACTTCGAGGAGCATCCACGAATAGAAGTCTTCTGGCTTCTCGCCATCGTAGCCTGGGCTTTTAAGACTTTCTTTCAAGAACCATGCTATACCTTCACGAGGTGCTGCAGCCATTTTGTGTCTTGATTGAAGGCAGAACAGATCTGTAGTAGAAGGGAAGTCAAAGGAGAATGTGTAGTTAGCAGTTCAGGTGCAGTATATCCGTTTTGACAGGAAATGTTTACGATATAAGAAACCACAACTAATAGTGGCATTAAACTCGACCAAGGTTCACGCTACAACTAACACTGTTCTCGTGCCTAATACCGAGTGGCGCTTATACACAATATGCCGTCGAGATTGATTATTCCGAATTATGCAACATTCGGGTATCAGATCATATCACCAGCTATTATGCGGTTCCACACGCGTTTCCCGGCCTTGGCTGAATAGCGTGAATGCTACCGTCTTTACCTGATTCTGCATTATTTCGATGAGGGATTCATGTAGAGTAAGGTAATGTGCTTCGTTGTCACGTTTCAATTAGGATATCTGCGTGAAGATCCTGAATAGTTGTCTACGTCGGCTGTATTCAGCTACCATCTCATAGGTAGAAGGCTGAGCTGGACATCAAGCAGTGTAACATACTTTGAATACTCTCCAAATCGATTTAACAAAGACGAAAGCATGGTGATCAACTTGGTATCGCAAGTACACCCTACAGAATACAACAATCAGGGATTTCCTGATACGGTGTCAAAACAACGATTTCAGATCGAACTTTAGATTTCGGATTTTGCTGTTCTTAGTTCTCTCAGGTTGCTACGTGATAGCCAATGTTTGGCCTTTCTCAACCAATTTTACCACCAAAGTTACACCGAAATCGTCGAAAAAGTGTTCGGGATACCGATATAGGCGATAACTCCAATAGAAACATATAAAAAATGATGGATAAAGTTAATTCTCCGATATTTCTGATATTCTGGCTTTGAGTCAGTGAGCCTTTAGTTCCACAGTTAGGTTTTTGCTACTTGAGCATCGCTGCATCGTTAGCGCTTCAGATCGTACAATTTGGTTTCTGCAGCCACGTTCGCTTTAAAATGATATTTGGCAATCAACTTGCATAATTTAGCTTCCGATCAAACGCCAGTGGGGTATGGCTATCGAGAGGAGATGCACAACATCAAGCCAGTGCTGCTCAGTCTCGAGTCAGTCTCCAGTTGAGTATTTGTATTCCGCTTCATATGGTTAATTGTGCATCTAGGCAATATATTCAGCTACCACGAAAGCTGGATTGTTTTCTCGACTGTAAAGAGGGAGTTGCATATGTTGTCTATCATTTGATCTATTTGTGTTCTCACAAATGATTATCACTTTCCGCTTCCTCGTTTCTAGGTACCTTGGCAGCACAAACCCCTCATTGCTCCCAGCAACAACATCTGAGTATCGTACTCGTCCTCTGTATCTGGTATATCCCTGAGGTAATCCCCAGTAATCCCCAATTTCTACATGCTACACTATACTCACGCTATCATTTACCTATATATGAAATTGCCCGCCTATTCATTAACTTGGTTCATCCTATCCTCATCGCAGCTCATTCACTCTCCTCCAGCTCGGCTAAGCATTTTCAAGAAAACAAACTTAAAGGAATAAAATTCATCACCATGGTACGTTTAGCATCTGCATCAACCCTCTTTGCCTCTTATCATTTGGCTTATGTCATTCCAACTAGTTTCGCACAATCGACAATATTGCGACAGGAACTAATCCAGAAGATCGAGTCAAAAAACTCGAGGCACAAGTCGCACAGCTTCAGAAGACGGTAGAAGACCTACAAAAGCGTGTGGTAGAGATGGAGAAATCTGGGGATGTGGATGAACTTGATCTCATGAAGGTGGGATCTCTTATTTCTAAGCGCTTTTCTTACCAGACTAACTCAGTTCCGAAAGATCCTCGAACAGGCAGGCTTTGATACAAACGTACCTGAGCCTTCTGCTGAAAATCCAGAAGAACTTCAGATGGAAAAATGATTGGTTTCTTCACTTGAACGTCTGGTTCAGGAGCCTAATGAGAGGCATAAGGATGTACATCAGGTTGGACCTTTGGCCTCCCCTGTACACATTCATCAGTTATTAAAAGAGTAGCTCTTTGTCTATGTGCATGATGAAGCAGGCTATTCGAGAACCAATTTGAAGGAATTTATGCCCATTATGCCATATCACTCTCTCAAAAACCTAATGATCATACTGTATCACGAAGCATATCACTCCCTCAGAAACCCAATGATCATGCTGTAATACGAACCACGTCATCGTGCTCCCCACAACTTTCCGATTGCGGGGTTCGCGTAAATAGTTTCGTCTCTACCTTTCACGAACGACGAAGTTCATTCCCCATGCTTTAAAAATGACACGGTGAACAACATATATGCTGTCTTTTGCCAAATTACCTCGTCTTACTCTGATAGAAGTGCTACTCCTTTGAACGAATCAAATTTTGTTTTTTGCTTTTTGAGCTCAAGAGTGCATTGTTTTGTCACGGGATATTTGGGAAAATACCCCGACTTCCATTCCCACCGCCCCCCTCTCTATAGCTGATGTCGTTACTATCAGTGATTCCAGTATTCCCTTTCCTGTTAGTACAGTAGCTATTAGCTAAGAAAGAAGTCATCACTGTACAGCTACAGTACTCATTTCCTACGAATGCAAATCGAAACATCCAACTCATAGTTGTCTCATAGCCATCGATGTAATTGCTACAAACACAAGGGAACATGGTACAGTCTATGAATTCTTGATTGTTCATGTCTTGTTGAAATATGGTGGAATAAACTTTATTATTAAGATGGGATGTTGTACTCACTGACTCTGTATTTTAGACTTCCTCACTCCTTTCTTTTTATTTTGTATGCGAATGATTATACGATAGGTAAACTATTGCCATTTTAGGCACAAGCGAAGTGCATACCTAGATAATCTATTCTCTAAAATGTATCTGAATATAAAAAGATGATAGTAATCATTGGAGAACATTTGTTCTTACAAGAATATGTATAATTGATTAAAGGTTAGAAGGTATATGAATTCAACAATCACAAGAAATTAACCGAGTATTCAAATGAAATAGGGAGAAATGAAACAATAGCTAAACAAAAGATATTAAATGTTGATGCCCAAAAGAAGAAGGTAAGAATGGAGTCCAGCTCCTAAATATGGTCTATTTCAAAACTAAAGTATTGAAATCCTAGCTATCTCTTTATGAAATCCTTATTTTCCTATCAATAAACAAACAATCTTTACCAATACTCCTGCTCCAAAATATAACTCCTAACTACTTCTTTATATCTTTAATCTCCGTGCAAAGTAAATATTGCAAGAGTTATTACAATAAGTAATCCTTTTGATATTCAACATTTATTCCTTAAAGTGTAGCGCCCAACCGTGTAATACTCTCATTGAGTGTTCAATGCATTTAACAACCCCTTCCAATATTTTTCATAATATTCATAACGGAATGAAAATGTAGGTTTTATACCGGTAGGTATTGAAAGATAAGAGACTTTGGATGTTTGTAGTTGATCTGTAAGTTGTTTATATATAGTACAGCTCTTGGGTTTCGCTAGCTCAAATATCAAGAAGGTATCTTTGTTGGAGGGAAGTTTTTCGACAAATTGGGTAAAATTGTCTATTTGTTCGTACTGATAGAGTGTTACATTGATCATCTTATCATATTTAAGCTCAGTAAATTTGTTATTTGGAAAACCAGATTCATGAAAATTGAGAGTTGATATAGAGGCAGGGTTTAATACAATGCTTGGAGAAGAGAGATTGAATTGGAATAAAAATAATCTTGTTTCGGGTGTCATTTTGTAAGGTGGATTCACTCGAGCCTTGATAGAAGTAGATGAAAGATGATTGCTTCTCAATTCTTATATTTATACTTCTATCCAGGCAAAGCTAAATGGCCAAGATTTTAAGACACGCAACTAACGAACAAACGAAAGTAGTGGTAATGCATGCCCTCGAAGCAACAGAAACTTCATCAAAAAGTCACCTAAATGGATCATAACAATCTCCAAGGAGGGTAGCAGGAGGGGGTTGACATTTCAAGGTACTAATATCGAAGTACAAATCCCTAATTACTATACATGAATTTAGGACTTAGGGGGTTGTTAATATATGTAGTGAAAAGAGAATTAAAACAATTTTCCAAATTCATTTCTGGCTTGTGACTATAGGCTTCGTAATCGGCTATTCTGTTTCCGTTCTTTCTCGATATAGCTGGACGTGTATCACAGGAATTAAATAGTCGCTAGGATCAATATCTTTAAAGGTTACAACGGAAACATGCATATATGATTTCTATCTACCTGGAATACAATACCTTTGTGTTCTGATACGAGTGCGGATGAGAAATATTCTCCATGTAGTCATTTATCCATTAATGAAGTTTCTGCTCTACTAGGACATTCATGATTGTGAGACCCTAAAGCAATGGGATGAAATAGTTAGTAAATAGAAGAATGATTCAATAGTTAAGAAGAACTAGATTGGCTTACTACAATACTGAAAAGATGGATTTTGTAGTATTATAGTTTTGAATCTCTTCTTTTAAATATTAGAAAAGTCAAAAAGCAATGAGATTTCAATAATGAGAATGTTATACTCTCTATCCTTCTTCCTTATAGGAATTAAGTTGAAAATTAAATAGATAATACTGAATATATGAAACAAGCAAACAAAACGAAAAGACTCTTCATTGTATTATAAATAATTATTTATAGAGACATGAAAACGTTTTTTTCCTATGCTAACAAGGCTTTGATTTCCCATGTATAATTAATGGACTCAATTAGCTCATTCATATGATAAAGACACACGTTATTTCCCTTTTTAACTCTTCATTATTCATTGCCCAAATCTTCTATATAAAAGCGATGAATCCCACCAGCTGAGGTCCGGAATATATACTTCAATAGCCCAAAGTATTTCCTCCGATTGAAAACATTTATATAGATCACAATCTTCAGAAGTATAATATGTCCAACAGGATGCCATATCAAGTGATTTGCTGGAAGAATGTAGTGCAAGGTGCCTAATTTGATTACAATACGATGCTGCTCTGGGAAAATGTTTACAACTCTAAAACCTTGTTCAGTATCACACCTCGTACGCCAGTAGGGCTTAGGAGATTGTGAGAAGGGTGTTTTGGTAGAGAATGATTGAATAAAAGGAATTGAAAAAGATGAAGAAATCGGAGGATATGTTGGAGGCTTAGAGACAGAAATTGCCAAAGAAGATAATGATACTGTAGAAGTTTTTAGTGATGAACTAAGGAGTGAAAGGAATAGTATTGTTGAGCCCAATGATGGTATAAAAACTTTTAATGATGGACCAAAAGGTACAGGGAAAGAACTTGACAATACTACAGAAGTTTTTAATAATAATAATAATGCTAGCATCGTTGACAAAGATATTGATATATTGGTATAAATAAATTAATGATAATTTATATTTCTTTTTGGTAACTCTACTTTCAGCATTAGACTTCCTTTAATTTCCTCACAAAAAAAATCGAGATCTTCCAAATCTTCACTTAAGGAGAACTTCGATTTCGTTTGGTAAGAAAAAGATAAAGAGGATGGTGTAAGGACTAACTGATGGGGAGGTAGAGTGCGAAGTTCAGAAAAAAGTAGTCAAGAAAAGTTTCGATTTTGTTTATTTTGTAAATAAATAGGAGGAGGAAAAGTAGGAGCTATTGAGATGAATTAAATTGAACTTGCGAACTTAGAAAATAAAAGGCATCTATTAATTAACAGCTCTTGATTGCGATAATAAACAATACCTAACCTCTTCTACATATATCGCTGATGCTCGAAAATGACGATTTTTCCTATGTTCTTATTGATATGGAAAGAGACGGTTTTACCAAGGACGACAATATATCCCTGTCACAGCACGACTTTGCTAATACACCTTCTTAAAAGTATCCTTGCTATTGTTACGACTTTCCTCAATCTTTCAAACATGAGGCGGCTAGCTGATACATCGACGATGAAGTCTTGCAGCATAGAGCCGCAACATCTTCACACCATAATCTCCATAGCAGTCGACCTTCACCATCCCTATAATATTTGCGGAGCCGGATATCAATAGAACGGCTCCTTGGTAGCATTATCTCCAAACCGCGTCAGCCAATCCAACGTGTGGCCAGGTACGAATTCCTGAACAAACGCTCTCTCCAAAAACGCTATCTCATCATCGCACTGTATCATGCCATCCATTACAATTGTGTTATCCCTTCTTACCTCTTCTCACTACCCCTCATGTCAAGATATGGTTCAGTCTGCCTGCCAAGCAAGTCGTAATTTACCCTACCAAGATTATGTAATAGATGACTCAGAATTTTATCGTTCAAATCGAACCTTTCGAGCCTCAATTCGATCAGAAGGGCCTGAGGCTCAACAAAATGTGGGGTTAAACTACGTACGTTATTGCAGAATAACATTCCAAAACAATCATCACCCTGCATAAGATGGTAATCCCAGTACGAAAATTTTGATTTGGGTTCTTGCAATGTCTACACCAGTTACAAAAGCTTTTCATATGGAGAAAGTCGAGTTGAGCGGACCTAGAGTCGACGCGATTTTATCACAGCTAGGGGAATGGCTTCCCAACGCAAAATTTGAACTAGATGGAAAGGTAGAGAAGTGTGCGGATGCAGAGCTAGATCACCGCTGCCGACCCCTCTTTATCGAGTTGGATATACTCAGAAAGGTGAGCTGTATTCTTCAATTTCACTATTCGAGAAGTATTTCTTACTGTTTTTAGATCAGCTCTCAGCAAATCCGAAAGAAATACAATGTTATACGAATCCTTTCTCAAGAGCCCGTAGAGTTCTACAGCTCTGTGGGGGAAACGGACCTCATTCCTATTCATCTTCTTACAAAATCTAATACGAAGATCGCAGGCCGAACAAACTCTCAACGGCGAGTACGGATTTCTCGAAAAGCATACTTTCGGCCCAATCAATTATAAGAGATATATGTCATGAAAAAAAAGAGGTGGCAAGGTAATTTTAGATATAAGAATACTCAAAGTAGATTCAGACGAGGTGAATTGTAATGTTAATATAGAATGAAGTATAAAGATGGAAAATATGAACTTTAAATTGATGAGTATTATTATCTAGTAATAAAATGTAAAAAACTTAAGGATATTTATTTTAATAAAAGTTTAGTTCCATCTTATAACCTAATGTTACTTGCAATCTACAATTGTTACTAGATTTGCTATTCTCAAGAACAAATTAAAAACATTAGTGAGATCTTATGTTTTATCTCTTTTATATTCTTTTTAATTATTATTACTTTTTATAGCTCGGAAAAGATAATCTTTAAGTATATTGATCAATTCTTTTATGAATGTTGTGTTACGACGACATCTAACATACCGAGTCACCTGATCAGAAAGTCACGGGATTAGAGATTCCCACTGGATCCCACTGCTCCCACCTGGTGGGACACGATGGGATCAATGGGACAACAAGGAACGAAGGTCTATATAAGGGAATGGGTTTCATTACAATGTAGAGCTTCGTGCTCAAGATCAATCATTAGTTTCATACTATAGTTACGAGAATTGCAACCAGTTACAACCTTATTGAATTCCTACTTGAAGTCTAGTCTAAACCACCTCGAGAGATCTCTAGACACTTCCACGTGACCCTAGAGGCAGCTCCCGTAACACCAGCCTATAGAAAGGTCCCAAGGAATACAATAGAGAATAAAGATTTATATAAAGGAATAAGTTTCATTATAATATAGAGCTTCGTGCTTAAGAACAATTATTAGTTTTATTATTATAGTTACGAGAATTGCAACTAATTATCAATCTTATTGAATTCCTACTTGAAGTTTAGTTTAAACCATTTCGAGAGATCTCTAGTTACTTTCACGTGACCCTAAAGGCAGCTCCCGTAACAATATAGGCTATATAACGAGTACCCGCGGGGCGGATAATGACCTCGACAGATAATTCGCGGATAATCTGTCTATAAAGCGGATAATTCAGAATCTGAACGAGTAACCTATAGGGCAGGTATAAATTACTTACGGATATTTATTTATTTATATATTATATAACTATTTATAATCTTTTATAATATTAATATAATTTTATAATTAATATAAAAATAAGTATTAATCTAAGCTTGAATTACTTTTAGACTGGAAAATAATCTAAAAATAGCTTTATATTTTAAGCGAAAAAAGCGAAGAATCTATATATCTATGAATTATTTACAAATAATCTATATATTCATAAATAATCCATTTATTTGTAAATAGATGGATTATTTATAGATAATTTATAAATTATTTGTATAAAGTAGGTAATTTTAAAGCCTCAATAGATAATCTATAAAACGGGTAGAACCTCTAATAAATAACTTATGGAGCGGATTATCCGTAGATAGTGTTACGGGAGCTGCCTCTAGGGTCACGTGGAAGTGTTTAGAGATCTCTCGAAATAGTTTAGACTAGACTTCAAGTAGGAATTCAATAAGGTTATAATTGTTGTAATTCTTGTAACTATAATAATAAAATTAATGATTGTTTTTAAGCATAAAGCTTTATATCCTAATAAAACTCATTTGTTATATAGACCTTCATTATTTAGAGTCCCTAGGATCTGTATGCTCCTGGAGCCCGTAGCTCCCCAAGGCTCCCTTATGTGATACGCGAATGTGTCATGTAATGTCTGTCGTAACAGATAGTTCATGAGTACAGATAATTTGTGCGCAGCCTAGTAAGATAAAAATCTAATTCTTTATTATAGCTTATAAATTCTAATCTAAATAGTTAATTATTAATTAATATTTACAGTTATAATTCTTTTAAAGGGTTTAGATAATAATAGGAATATTTCCACTTATATATAATATAAATTTCTTATAATTTAAACTTATTATAAAGAAAACCTCTATAAAGAGTAAAGGATTACATTTATTATTATAATCTTAATATTATTATTTCATAGATTTAAATTATTAAATGAATTGAAAATAATCTTCTTTTTAAATAACGATTATAAAACAATTATATGATATTTATCTTGAATACCTTGAATATCCAATGATTTTTTCGATTTTTTCAGATATTTGCCCTATTATATGCTTATAGGATAGAGTAAATACTCATCGAGGTTAAAAACGCCGAGTAGAATATAGATGCTCAAGCCTACTTTATAATAGTATTTAAATCTATATAAAATCTCAGTTATTCTATATTGGAAATTGTATTATAAAGAATAAATAATCTAAACATTTTTTCCTTTATTTATATATCTTTTATTTTCTTGTTTTGTATATCTCAATTTTCGAATATAATAAATCTTTTAGTATTGGTATTTCTATGACAAAATCTTCAGCGATTATATTTAATATATTATTCAAATTTTATAAGCCGCTTAATTATATTGAAAATAATAAATTCTTATTATTAGAGAAAGATGATATCTATTTCTTTTTAGAAGACTTTAGTATATATAGTTTATTATAGTTAAAGAAATACTTTTTTAAAAAGTAATTTTTAATATAAAAACTAATAAAGAAAAAAGATATTATAAATTTACATTTATATATAAATAAAAAATAAAAATATACTAACGTAACGTATGGGGAACTCGGACATATGGGGAACTCGGACACTTTTTCAATTATTCTACACGCGATCTTGTTCTACGAGCCACGCAATCCTCCAATTCCAATTCCGAATCACTTGAACTATTCTCTAGCTCTTCTTCTTCAATCTCTTCTTCTGATTCTTCAATTGGGCGTTTGCGTGGCCGTCCTCGTGGCTTTTTCTCCTTCGGTTTTTCCTCCGCCTCACGTACCATTTTCAATACTTCCTTAGTACTAAAGACAAATTGACCTTGTAATTTGACTCTTTTGCCTTTAGTTCTTTTCTTTCGAGTCTCAATTACCTCCTGAGCATCAGAGAGCTGTTTCCGAAGTAGGGCTATCTCAGCATTTTGAGATTCTACAAGCCTAGTCATTCTCTTGGCATATCGACGAGTTGGCGATGCAGGAGAACCACTGCTTGCTAGAGCTGTATTAAAGATCTGATTTGCTTGCCTTAATTCTGTTCCATCTGGAGGAGAACTCCTGAGTATAGACAAGTCTAGGTCTTGATTGGGGGTTCTCATTTGTGGAGTAGAAGGTTGCTGGGAGGAGTTAAATGGTAATGAATCGAGTACTTTTCGTGGGGCAAAAGGTACTAAACCAGCTCCTCTCCAGCCAGCTTTAATATTAGAAGAATTCAATGCTTTTTTTCTAATATTTTGAAAGAGTTCTACCCATTCAGCTCTTTGGATTCGCTTTACACCAGCTCGAGAATATCGATCGACCTCTAAAGCATGATATCGTTTCATTGGCCCATACACCGCAATATCAAGTGGCTGAAGCAAGTGAGAGCAATGAGGAGGTAATATAAGTAAATCAATATCATTATCTATACAGAAAGCAATAAAGCTACCTGTAATATGGCTTGAATGGCCATCCATGATCAAAAGTCGAGGTCGGTCACCTGACACTTTCTTGGATTCTGGTTCGAAAACCCTTTTTAACCATTCTAATCCATGGCTATTTGAGGTCCATCCATTTGTACTAGTAGAGAACTGCCAGCTTTGAGGTGTGTCCTTTGGAATCCATGCAGAATTCGTATTCTGAGCCTTGAAAATGACCATAGGTGATAGAGCATTTCCAGCTGCATTGACACATTCAAATGCAGTTATCCATTCTTGCTTGCCAGCTGTAACTTTCCAATTCGATTTCTGAGTAGAATCGACTATAATGCGCGTACTTTGAGTACTTCCAACTCCAAATCCGGTTTCATCCATATTATACATATCATCTAATTCATACTTTCGCTCAATGAGACGCGTGCGAAACGCGTCAAACCAAGCCTGAATATTCTCCGGAGTTGCTTCTTTAGCCCGATTAGACTCTAATTGACGTGAATAGCATGTTTTAAGTTCTGGATGTCGTTTTTGGAATCTATAGATCCATTCGTGGCCTATAGGTGGAATTTCTGTCGAGGTAGGATTTCGAGATGACGCGACCCGAACGCGTCGAAGACGAATTTCGTCGGCCATTTCCTTCACCAACATAGGTGTAGCAGGGAATCCAGTGATGGTAAGTCGTGAAATCCATCGTACAAGAGTATTTTCTTCTGCGTTTGAAAGAATTTGAGCCATTTCGTGGGTTTGGGAACGTGTTTTCTTCCCAGCCAGCCTATCAGCTAGGGTAGACTTAGGGACTTCAAAATGCTCTGCAGCCTTTCTAATTGATTTAAATTCTTTCAATTAAAGTGAAATTATAGCCTTTTGAAGCTTCTATTCAATTTGAGCAGATGTAGAAGGTGATTGGGTATGCATAATAAAAGTTATTGCGGTTTCAAGTTGGTGATGGGCTAAAAGTGTCCGAGTTCCCCATATGTCCGAGTTCCCCATACGTTACGTTATAAAAAATAATATATTTTTTTCTACTCTAACTATTTTTTTAGTAGTTGAGAAAAAGTAGTCTTCTACCATAACCAAAAATAGGAGGAATCTTTTAATCAAATAAATAAATTCAACCTTTTTTCTTTATAAATCCTAATTATTTAATATAAACTTGTATATTATTATTATTTTGGCTGAGGATATATTAGATAAAAAAACTATTCACCTCTAATTCATGAGCCTACCAATAACCCCCACATTACCTTAGATGCCACTATCATATCAGCACTGAGGTGAAAGTCTAGGTCTTGTATTATTAGTCTTTCTATTCTTGCTGTACCCCTATCTCCTACTGCATTATTGACCTGATCTTCGCAGCTGACATTTGTGATCTTTTCAGACATACATACCCAGGTCCTGGGTATCGCCAGCGTCCCGTCAGGGTCGTCCGTGCTCAACTGGCGGCCCTGCCGATCCATCTAGAGAAAGCAAGCCACCAAACCATCCATTTCCAATCCACACATCTCATTCAAGTC